CTTATTTTTCTTTTTCTTCCCCTTTGTTCATCTGTTTTTTTCTCAAATTCCACACATGCGTGAGGGTGACCTTTATAAAGGCAGTCTCCACTTAGAGGAATCTCCTTGTCTGTACCAGAGAGAGCCTTATGACTGAATCAAAAGAATGGTTATCAGTGGAGAAAGGACGGGACTTCGCCTAGGGAATAGACCCCTATTTCCCGTGCTTGTCAGATAACCTCCTCTAACAGGCTTCCCCTGCCCTCCCTCTACCATTTTGCTTGGTCTTAAGCTGAAGATGATATTTAAACGGCCGCTTGGCCCCCTTTGGGGAGTTAGTTTTCCTAGGTCTCTGCCCTGATATGTGAGGTACACATGTTGATGAACTTTGTTTTTTCGCTTGTCTTTTTTTACCTGGGGTGGAGGGGTCTCCGTCAAGAACTCAGAAAGATAAAGGGAAAGTTATTTTTTCTTTTCCTATAGTATTCAACAAGAGAAGCCCCAAGTAGGTTGACGAACCCAGTGGTTTTCTGTTCTCTTGTCAAGCTAAGCTCCTTCTTGGGTGAACCTGAGCCCTACTATGACCATTGGAAGGGTCGGGTCTGAAACTCAGTCCTCTCTACCTGTTGGGGAATGAATGTTCACTGCAGCCATTTGTCAGGAAAGGCACATTGCTACCACCAAGTCAGGTCATTAATTTCCAAAAGAATATACACTTAATCCCAAATGGTGGCTGATTAAAGCCTTTCATCTTAGTTTGTTACCTGCTTAGGAAGGCTGCTGACTTTAGATCTTCACCTCCTTTCCAGTTCACAGTGAGGATTTGGACTGTTTTACAGGTAGATTTTTCCCAGCCTCCTGAGTTGCTCCGGATTCCAGGGTCAGTTCCGTCTAGAGGTCTCTAGCCTCCTGCTCCCAGATACCACGTTCAGTAGGGATGTTCCTCAAAAAGCAGAATTTCCAGAGTAACTGTAGAAGACAAAAGCCGTTTTGAACACAAGGCCAGAGGGAGTGAGGCCCTAAGAGGAATCTAAGTTTCAAGTGTTTATAAAGAAAATCCTGAGGACCAACCAAGGGTTGCCAGCATTTTATATGGCCAGATAGACTGCCCCCCCCCCTTTTTTTGAGAAAGCAAGCACTCGCACCAGTGGGAGAGGGGCAGAGAGAAAGGGGGGGCGGGAAGAGAGAGAGAGAATCCCAAGCAGGCTCTACACTGTCAGCACAGAGCCCAGTGGCTGGGGGGGGGGGGGGGCTTGAACTCAAGAATCTTGAGCTCATGACCTGAGGTGAAATAAGAGTCTCACGCTTAACCGACCGAGCCACCCAGGCATCCTCAGATATGTCCATTTTGAAAAACTGTATCTGAAGGAAATTATAATGCCAAAGAGGTAGGAAAGAAGCTAAGGATCAAAAATCTTATTTTGAATGAGTTTAGCTTTTATGAAAACCTGTGGAGTCTCTCTTTTTTACCATTCTGATTAAAACTCTGCATGCATACTGTGAGGCTGAAGGTCTCATGGGAGGAGGCCAGCCTAGCAGAGGTTGATGACAGTTTGGCTAGTACTGGGGGACGTCAGGGCAAACCGAAGGAGATGGTAAGAATCTCCCATGTTCTGTGAGATTTCTCGTTTGGTTCATTTGGCTGCCACATAGCATAACTGCTGTTAAGATCATGAATGAGGAAGGTCATATGTACTGGGCTTCTGTTTATCTTCTTCTGAAAGCAAAAAAGTCAATTACGTTGAACAAAGTAGAATTTGTCTCATAAACCCATTGAGCTGCCTGTGTCTAGTTGCTCCGTATACCAGCTGGCTTTCACAGGAGGTCAGGTAGCAAACTGCGCCCCGCCTCCCTTGTTTTCTCGTAGTGTTTCAGCTTGGATTATACCTGGCAATGTTCAGTCTGTTTTCTCTCTTCATCCTAACTTCCCTCAGAGCATCCATCCGGCTCCAAGCAGAGTCCTCGGACACAGCCCCTAGACGAGGACTACGAAGGGGCTCCGTGGAATTGTGACAGCTGCACCTTCCTGAACCACCCCGCCCTCAACCGCTGTGAGCAGTGCGAGATGCCGCGGTACACTTGAACTCCGATGGGTCCGCGTCAGTTCGAGAGTGAAACTTGGAGCCCCCACTCGAAGAAAAGAAAACCTTGGGAAGCTGTTCATCTGCCCAGCCTTTCCATGGCAGATTCCACGGGGGGAGGAGGAAGGACCCTGGAGCTGGTTGTGCTCACTAAAGGAAAAAAGGGGAGTTCTCTTTGGTGGGGTTTTTTTTTGGTGGGGGTTTTTTTTCTTTTTTCTTTCTTTTTTTTTTTTTTTTTTTTTTT